GTGGTGTCCGACAAGGCTGTCCACTAACCCTATTTTTGTTTAACTTCATTATAGACCTATTGCTGGAAATAACACTCTCGTCGACTGAATTTTCAGGAATTGATCTTCTACCAGGAGGTTCACTTATTGACATAGAATACACAGATGACATAGTCCTGGTAAAGACGCTGATAAAATGCAGTCTTCTGTTAGAACTGAGTATTAATGCCAGAATGTTTGGAATACGTTTCTCCCCATCCAAATGTAAATTGTTACTACAGGACTGGCCTGTGTCAACACCTGAACTAAGGATAGGGAGTGAAGTAGTTGAACGCGTGGACAACTTCACTTATCTTGGAAGTCTGATCAGCTCTAATGGGTTGGTATCTGACGAAATCTGAGCACGGATTCAAAAAGCTCGTTTGGCTTTTGCTAACTTACGTCACCTATGGCGAAGACGAGATATCCGTCTATCAATTAACGGACGAGTATACTGCACCGGGTATGTAGTAGTAAGGTTAGACACAGGGTATTAGGGAATGATGGTAAATCAGTTGATGAGGTCATGAATCTTCATCGACTAAGATGGTTAGGCCACATGTTACGTATGCCTGAACACTGATTACCACGACGCGCAATGCTGACTAGTATTGCGGATGGTTGGAAGAGAGTTAGGTGTGGCCAAACCAAAACGTGGCATCAGTGCTTGAAGTCACTAACTTCTAGTCTGAGCCATGTTGGCAGACTACCTGGTTGGGGTTCGCGTGACTATCGTAACCAATGGTTGGAGACTCTGGGTGACATGACTCGGAATCGATCACAATGACGTAGGTGTATACACCCTTTGTCTTCCCTTAAACCTTCAGATTAAAATTGCTTCCTAACTTTTTTCCTTCCTATACTATATCCTTATATACAACCTTTCTTTATATACTACCACCACTAAATTACCTACTTCTATGAATTCGGTGTTCATCTTGTTGTGCTAACGAGGTATGGCAACTTGGACCGATGTATATATGTTCCTGGTCCTACGTTGCAGCTGACTGACTGACTATCATTAGCTTTATTTTGACCTTTGAACCATTATTATACGATTCTTGAGTTATCATCAGTCTATTGATTACTTTCCCAATCTTCACAGTCACTTTTGGCTAAATATTGTACAAAATGTTATTTTCTATTTTATGGTACGATGTGGTCTGTTTGGTTGGTATATAAACCCAGTATGTTTGAGAATAATGATTCATATTGCCGAGGCTGTTATTGGTGTTCTGGACTTAACTGGCTGGGCTAGGCAGATAGGAGGGGCCGATACGCACTCTAGACTGCTCGTATTGTTTTTGTGTGTCACTGTCCCAATCGATAATTCGCTCTTCTCTCATTGGCGGGAATTAGCACGTTCATATATCAAATAGGGCACACGCACCCATACGTTATAACAAATAATTAAAAGCATTAAATACAACCCATTTATTAGACATTGAAAACATTCCAGATAAAATCTGTCCTATTTTAGATCATACATATTTAAAAATAAATAATTAAAATGGTTTCATATTTTTTAAAAAAGAAACTACGTTGAACTAACTAATCTATTTTATAGTAGAAAACGTGAGTCAATTGAAGCTAGACTCACGCTTTCTACTATGAAAAATACTAAATCTCCACAAAACCCCTTCTGATAATTAATCTATTTTATAGAAAATTTGAATGTGATACATTGAAAAGAATCAGTCTAAGTGAATGAATGTCGTCCCAGAGAATTCCACGTCGTGCATTATTTGCCGACTCTGGGACTGGTTGGAAAAAGCGGAGAGGTGGTCAGTGTATGACATGGTGTCGTGGTATGAAAGAAAGCTGCAAAAGGCTAGCTTCTGTTGGTCCTTCACGACTCCCTGGCTGGGGTCCGAGAGATGGTGCAACACAGTGGCTAGAGACGTTATCAGATACGGCTCAGAATAGAAGCCAGTGGCAAGCCTGCTGTAAACTACTTTTACTTTCTTCATAAAGAGTGGTTATAACATTTTTAACTGAGAGAGTTCTTCTGATTGTACGTTTCAGCTCCCCCCATCATTACTCTTCGCTTTTTTTCCTTCTTTTATATATACGTATCCTCCCCCTTTCTCCCCCTATTCTCATTATTTTGTGTGACGCATATGTATCCGGTGCCCTTTGTACCAATATGTATGTAGGTCCCAACAAGTACGGAGTTAACACAAAAAGGTCGTGTGTGACCGACCTCAAGCAGTTGTCCCTTGGGCACTGCGGTCACACTCTCTGGTCACTAAGACCACTTCTAATCCAATTTCCTTTTCAGGTACCTCCAGAAGAACCCTTCAATGGTGCTGGAAGCCGGGAAGTGATAACTGCCCTCATACCTTTAACAGCAGAATGAGAGACTAGAATAAAACTACTTAATTGAAACTCAGTCTAATGTTTAACAAATGTGGTAGTGAAAATTTATGCTAGTAATGCAAGAAATTTTAAAACAATCGCTGTGGGTATGAAAGATTGCAGAGTTAGTAAATCTCTTACTTGCTATTTAACAGTATGATGGAGGGGAGAGGGAAAAGCAGTCTTAAACTGAATTATTAATTATCGCAGTTATTTTTCAAGCAATAACGGTGTACTTGCTTTATGGTAGTATTTATTAATGACACATTGGTCATAATATCATACTAACATCAAGGTCTTACATCCACCAACTGATAAGTTACGTACATATGAACTGTCAATCATACATTATTTTGTAATATTCACTCTGAATTTTATGGATACTGTCGGTGAGTTTACATTAGCTTAGTCATTTAAATTTAAAACTTCGTATATTAGCCCGGAGTTATTAGTGAGTAATCAGAGAACAATGCTTTCGGCGTCTCAGTACAATGAGATAATAATAATGAATGAACATCTATTTAAACTTACATGTCACACACCATATGGCTTCCTTAGCTTTGCTCGGCACCAGTTGTAATGACTGATTTATGATATTAAGATTGACAATCACTTACCAGTCAGGATTTTCGTAAATTGCGGAATATTTATCAGTTAAAAAGTACAATTACTATGACCTCATGGGAGGACACATATCCATGATATTGGTCAACTGACTAGTTACATTCATCAACAATCTTTAACCTGAACTTCAATCAAATAGGTTGACTAGTCATTCATTATTGTGTTGCATTTAATGAAATAAAATGCACAACTATATACACACACAAAAACACACAATTGACACCGGATGACTGAGTAAGCATAAAATGATCGATGTCAGTTTTGGTAAAAAGAAGAAGAAACAGGTCACATTTTGTATGACGACATATAATTAACTCACTCAGTACCATTGAAGTATGTTTAGCCAATCAACCATAAAAAAGACAATAATGAATATAACCACTATAAAAATAGATGTTTCGGTATATTCAGTCATTGTACTGTTAGATCAATAATCCTTATTTAAGCCGAAAGACTAATCTTTATCTCATTAAATGATACTTTTCAACTACATCGCACACTCCGAGTATAGTCAATCTAAATAGATGAGCACAGTCATCAAATGAATAGATGATTTTCTTTTTCAAAGTTGTACCGAATAGAAAACAGTTTTATAATAGAATAAAACATTCGAATAAATCAATCAAACTAAAGAGTGAATACAAGTTTTAACTGATCTTATTGCTATAAGACAATGTTAAGAAAAGACAATTACACTCAACTTTAAAAAGTTTTTCTTTAGTAAACAAAATTAACAATAAAGTTTAGAAAAAAGACAATTTTAATTTTCATAGTTGAAATCATGAGTCAATTAAAGCTAGATCACCATCGAAAACCTAGAAGCACTGGACGGCCAACTTGTCCTACTATGGGACTCTTTAGTGGCAGTGCGCATCCACGATCCCGCCTCTCGAGCGAGATTCGAACCCAGGACCTACCAGTCTCGCGCCAGAGCACTTAACCAATAGACCACTGAGCCGGCATCCAACGAAGTTAATGTCTAACTTCAACCAATTCCTTGAGTTCTAGTAAGAAGCAGTGGCCAGTGGAGTTCAACCAAGTCTGTTGTAGAGATATCAACTCACTGAAGACAATTGGTGAACGGTTGCTCAAACATCATGGATTGGTTAAAGTTAGACATTAACACCGTTGAAGCCGGCTCAATGGTTTAGTGGTTGAGCACTCGCGAGTGTGGGATCGTGGATGCACACTGCTGAGGAGTCCCACAATAGGACAAAACGGCCGCCAAGCAGTGTTTCCAGGTTTTCGATGGTGGTCTAGCTTCAATTGACTCATGATTTCAACTATGAAAATACTGAAATATCCAAAAAAAACCTTCGAATTTTAATTTTATTTATTAAATTAAAACAAAAATAATTTATATCAAGAAAACAGCATAGAAAAACAAACAAACAAAACAGAATAATAACACTAAACTGAAATCTTACTCAAATGTGCTCATCTTCTTTACATATCAATGTTTAAGGATGAATAAATAAATAAATAAGTAAATGGATATATATAAATAATAAATTTAATTATTTGGTATATTAATAAGTAGTATGAATAATTTACTTAAATAATTTTACAATAATCATTAATACTACTTAAATTTATGATAAATATTAATATTTTCTAATAGAATTAGATACTACTTATTAACAGTTAGAAAAAGTAGTATCACATACAAAAGAAAAAAATTAATATGGCGACGTTTATCATGATAATGATTATGAAAGACAATAACTTGGAATCGATATTATGATTCATTGTCATTCTTATTTTAAGGATTCACAATAAAGATGGAAACCTGAATGATCTAAAGTGAACATTCAAAAATAGAAGTAACTTAAAGTACAAGTGAAAATGTGATATATATAATGTAAGTTAGAGAGTGTATGTATGTATGTATGTATGTATGTGTGTGTATCATCCATCTATGATGATAACTACATATCTACGATGATTGTCTTAGTTATATATCAAAATGAACCTTGTTTAGTTTGTCTCAAAGTGTTAGCTTAACTAGAAACAGATACTATTCCATTTGTTGCAGTATAAGATTGTGGAGAATTAGCAAATGATTGAATTCTTGTCATTCTTGCCTTGCCTGACATCGGATGATCATTTTTATTACTATTACGACTAGTTATATGTGGTAATAGCTGCACAACATCAGTGAGTTCAGAATCAGAATGATGATCAGAGATCAACTTTTCGGTACTCATTTGATCAAATGATAAATGTCTACTATGTTGAGTTTTTGAGCCATTCAATGTTGGTTTGAATGAAATAATACGACGATAAAGTTTGTTGTGCATATCAAATGAACTGTTTGACGACGAGTAGATTGAATGCTTTGCCTGAGACAATGTTCGTAAGCTCTTCCATGAGAAATTGGAATCCTGACAAAATAGTGAAAAAAACACTTGCAACAGCAGTAAACAAACATAATGAAGCTATAGTGAATTATTTTGCAAATTTAAAAGTTCGAATAACATTTAAACACAACTAAATTGATGTGTATAATAGGGAATATAAGAATGAAGTGATTAGAATATTCTACTTCATTGAATCAGTTGACAATCCTACTAACCTGCAGATCATCCGTTAAGTTATAGTTCAAATAAGATAGTATTACATGGTTAATAGATTTATGGAGATGAGTCTAGGTTTCAGTGAATCTTCTAAAAGAATTATGTCAACTATGCAATCACTGAAAACCAGGATGCAGTAAACATTAGTAGTATTTAGCTTAAAAGTGTACATTCAGGATCATCACAAGAATCGGGTCTTCAGGTAACATGATAAACATAGTCCCTTCAGATCACCCAGTCAGGATTCAAAGACCTGCATTCTTTACCTCAATACAATATGAAATGAACATCATGTAGTATCCTTGGTAAGTTACTGTCTGCTTTTCAATCTGGTTTGACTCTCCATTGATTACGATTTTCCATGAGGACATCAAGATTATCTTTTGAAGTTAGTCAATACTTAAACAGATGATCATTATTATAAAAACAATAACAACTAAATTCACATTAAACGATCCCCACGAACACTTATCATAAGTATATATTTTAAAAAACCAACTGTACTTTTTAAACTAATAACATCAAATAGAAATCTTACTCTTTACAAAAAACTAACTTTTTACCTTTAGCCATGGACAAAAAAGGTACTACGCTAATCGACCATTGATTCTTACGCTGGTTGAAATTCTCCGAACAAGTTTCAATCAAACAAGTGTGAATCTCACAGAAATCAAGTACAAATTCTCATGAAATTGGAGATACATTTTGCTGACGAATGATAATTAACACAGTTCAAAGCTACGTAATGTTCGTTTACAGTCGCCCGATTAAGTATATTATATATATATATATTCAGGAGGAGTTAATATTAATCTGAGTCAACCCTAATTAAAAGCACATACAAAATGTTAACAAAATCTCAATAAAAAGAAAACCAGTACCCAGGCATCGAATTCCAGAGTTCATTCTCAGGGATTTTAGACTTATATCTCATGATAGTTGATTTTTGCTAGCAAGGCATATCTTCATGATGAAAGACCTTATCACTGAACTATTTAGGATCAGCAGTTTAAATAATTAATTTCCCCACGAGGCCAGCTTATGTTTAGACAACTAAGAAAAGTGGTAATATCTTTATTATTTACATTACAACATGTATGACTTAACTCTTTCAGTATATGAACTTACATAGGATTATTGACCCAATTTTTATAATTTATAAATAGACACTTCACATCGACAAGATTACTGATGATGAAACCGACTAATTATATCTAAAACCTTGAAAAAATGTACAACACTTTCAACATACTAAGCGAACTAGATCAATTTGTTACACTGAATCACAACCAAAACAATTCTAACGTATAGTATCATAGAATTAGTGTTCAAAACTGCACAAGTATCAATAGCACATAATTCAATTCCGTCTGACAGAGAAAGAGAAGTAGTGTGAAATACTTTTCGGGTTTTTGTTTTTAAAAATAAGATCCTTTTTTAATTTTTTTTCTTCATTAGTAAATTGTTTGATTCTTAGTACAAAGTTGTATACCACTTAAACAAACCAACGCACTAAGACTCACCTTTAGCACAGTAATCATAACAATACCTAACACTGTGAATATCAAACCGAATATTAAACCAACATAATCCATATAATCTAATGCATTCAATTCATGAAATAAAACTGTTGATGCAATAATTACAAAACCAGTAAAGAAAACATATAGTAACGGTGTAACTATGCCAGTACTGAATAAATCCAGTGCTCGATTTAAATAATACATTTGTATTGTGATTGCACCAATAAGCCAGATGATCAGGAACCAAAAAAACCATGATGTGAGCATCGGTAAAAAGCCAATAGTGAATGCATTCTAAAATATTTAGAATAGAATAATATTTTTGATAATTCCGTTCTATCATAAAATAGTCAATTTGAATGAAATTAATGGCGAAAACACTTTCTTATCAAATTTCGATCTTATATATTATGCGGATGCTAATTGTACAGTTGAACGGTGGCTTAATTACCAATTTCCTTACCTTTCAATCAATAAATAGAGGATTCAAATTCTGTCCAATTTACTTCATTTACAGTTTGTTGTAATCAACGCAGGGTATAACACAAATATGCGTTGGTCCAAACTGCTATACCGTATTAGCATGATGTTTTGAAACTAATCAATCGCTAATCGTGGTTATTACACGAAAACCAACCAGGTAGTCGTCATCTACTAACATAGATCAGTTCAACAGTCAGTGACTTTGCGGACTAATATCATGTTTTTATTTGACAACTCCTAGACTCCTTCCAATTTTCTCTCATACCAGTTAACCTCACTCATAGAGTAATGATTGGGTTCCCGTAGCTAGGTGGCACCACTAGGCGTGATAACTGAAGTCTGATACTTAAAGATGAACAGGTAAATTTGTACTTTGCAAACAAGTTACATTCGAATATTCTAATTTATATACAGATTGTGAACGTATTTTGATCTGATGAGTATACACCTATAGGTAAAAACACTCAAGTGCTCTACATAACTCATCCGTAATTCAACACCCAGATAAGCAGAGCAGAACTGAGCTACTGGATTACAGTTTAATTACTATTTACAAGTAATTTAAGTATAGCCACTGATTTTGAATTGTGTAATTAAAAGGGAAACGAAGGATAAATCAACAGTTCTTTTGGGAAAAAATAAAGCTTTTTTGATGGAGTTTTGTTCTCTGAGTTGAATGGTTTGGTCGTGAAGCTTTCATCGACATTATCAGCACAAACTTCAGGTAGAAGTGAAGTGTTCGAACCAATCAACATCGACGTCTACAGGACAAGCTGTGAGTCATATGTGGAGAAATTCAAACACCACTTCTACCTGAAGTTTATGCTGATGATGTCGTTCAGAAGAACGATGAAAGCTCCAAGACCAAACCATCTAGCCCAGAGAACAAAACTCCATCAAAACCATCCATCTGAGCTACAAATCTTCTCCACCAACTCAAAGCCAATTTTCTACTCACTTTTAATCCTACACCGATACCTTTACAAGTAACAACTGACAATGAGCCAATACTTCCACTGACCAATGTGAAGATAATTGGGTTTGTTTTACCATAACGTGGACCCAAAATAAAAATCAATACAATGGACAATAATATAACGAATAAACTGTAGATAATGAAAGCTGAGAAGAAAAACAATCAAATATAAGAACAAAATACTTAGATAAATACATACATCAATGCAATGCGTAATGAGTCAAATATAAGAATGTTGAAGTGATAACTCCAAGGTTTCAAGCTCGAAACAAGTTAATCTTTTATGAATTTTTATCTTACGTTTTGGTCAAAGTGAATGTAATTCTTCAGTTCAATAAATAGAATAAAGTGAAATGATTGATGAGAACCTACAGTCAAAAAAAACCCAAGTGTATTCATTTATGAAATAGGCTTTGGAATTACACTTATGATTAGACTACAGTGCTCTATGAGACCTATAAGAACAAAGATGACATCAATGTCTTAGTGTGGAAATTGAAAGTTAATGTCAAACACCCAGCTTTTAGAAAAAACATGTAGAGTGTAGTATCACTCCACATGGGTTACTCTAGATTTCAGACAGATCAATTAACTTACTCTTCTTGAATAACATTTTAACCCTGTCAGTTGTTCGATCATTAACCTTGACTGTTTCTACATGAGTGTATGCGTGTGTATCGCTTACTCCATTTATCACAAGCCCGTTTTCATCTCTCTGTAAATATTGATTCACGTACTATCAAAAGGAGTTGATACGGTTTTCTTTTCCGCCTTTCTTCGCTTTCCCGCTTCTCATTCTTACTTTCTCTCTGCATAAATTATTGTATGAAATAAATCAATCCAGATTAGTCTGTATTTGGTTTTTTATTATCTACATCACACAAACAGGGTTAACCTGAGTGTAACATACATAATTAAACGGAAGATCTATATTCATGGAGTATTCATACACTCGTCCAAATCGGAGTCAGATCTCGCGCAGCTAAACTGGTGAACCAACATAATAGTTAAATAAATTCTTTGAAATTACTAAGACATAATCTATTGTGATATTATGAAGTAGAAATGAGCTCGTATGAATAAAAATGAACGTCAAATACCTGCTTCTTTTGATCTAAATTGTATTGTAAACGTTAATAAATGACTAAGATTCTTCGCATTTTTAGTGATACATTTTTAAAACAACTTATTTTTGTTTATACGAATATTCGTCAAGGTTAGAACGAATAGTTTGACAATAATTGGGCGCCGAGTATAGAGAATTCATTATATGTGAAAAATTTATATTTGAAATAGTCTCAGCGATTGAAATATAGATAATTCCAACGTTTCGTTCAGCTAACTTGTCTGGACTTCTTCAGGGAAATAATCAAAATAAAAATCAAGGATGCTTTTTGTGCTTATTGATGTAGATATGTCAAAGGTAATTTAAACGTCAATCAGAGTCTGAGGTATAGCATAAATTTTAATACTATTTGGAACGTAGAGATACTGTCCGAATCGAGTCAGGATTGAGTAGTTAGCAGTTTTTAAGTAAGTAGAAGAGTACTTCATTAGGAAATATCAAACTCTCTTGTAAAAGCTTCAGAGTCATTGGAACGATATTATGTTATATATTGAGGTATTGAGACATGTGGAACAATTTTCTGGTGTCATGAGTAAATAATATTTTTTTGTAAGTTGAGTTGAAAATTGCTCATTATCCAAAACAAAAATAATAAAACAGATTTGTGTGCAACAAGTACAGAAAGACATAATATCAGTCAGTTTTTTCAACATACGTTTATCGATCACCTATTTCTTCCCTAATTTTGTTTAAATATTGGCCTAAAACCAATGTTTTACTATTATGGATGCTTGTTTAGTTTACCTAACTACTAAGCTACCAAGAAAAAAATACTTTCTATGCTGTGAAAGAAAAAAGGCTAATCTGAGTGAGCAACCAATTTCTTCAAGTTACTGTGGAAGTTAGTCGAATATGGAAAGAGATTTTTGTTAAAGACTGACATCAACTGGAGAATTATGGAAAGTTATCGGACATTGCAACAGCGTTTCACTAACAACTTTACGTGGATGAATGAAGCATCATTGAAAAGCTTACAACTACAACTGATACATGGTAAGCAGAGATGGATAGTGGCTAGCAGTGGAATCCAGGACGCGCGTTTCGTCCTATTTGGGACTCGTCAGCTGGATGTACCTGCATCTCAGAGTTGATGTTCACTCTGGGACTCGAACCCAGTACCCTCGCTTCAAACGCCATCGCGTTATCCACTCGGCCTAGAGAGAGACTGACCAGTTGCAGTCCTAAACACATCGATGGGAAGATCCAAACAAACAATACTAAGTGAATACAACTGATACAGTTATCTGTGAAGTATAAAACTTGAATAGTTAGTATTTGGTGAGTTATTTTGCTTGTTCCTCATATGTATTAGTCAAAAGATAGTTTTGTAATACATTTATTCGAAGGGATAATTCTAATTGTAAGTTCTTTCTTTCTAACTCATTCATTGATGTGATTGTCTTTCATCAATCGAAAGTAACAATCAGTAAACCACTGAACAGTATATTCTGTTTTGTATTTAAAAATACCTTAAATATGCACCCGTTGAGACTTATCCATTGTAATATTGATTCTGATTTGATACTTTACTTGCACAACCACGTCAGTTATAAAGATCCAAATAATAAGTATTTTGTGGTCACCTCAATTTAGTCTGTTGCTACTCTAATTAGGAATTCTTATGCTTCATTGATTATGTAAAAAGGAATACGAGTAGTCATATTGGAGATAAAGTGTTATGAATGTACAATATAGAACATAAAACTTACATGGATCGGTAGCTCTTGACCACATTTCATGTAATGATGTTAAATTTTGTTCTTTTGGTGCATGTAACACAATTAAAGTTGAGCCTAATATGCATACACAGCATCCAAATCCACCGATACAATTTAAATGTTCATTTAAAAAGCGTACACTTAACAGTGCACTAACAAGTACAGATAGTGCACCTAACGGTGTCACTAGTATAGCTGGAGCGAATGTATACGCTACAAAATTGGCAAATTCACCAATACCCATCAAAATGAAACCCATCCACCACATCCATTCACATAAATAACTAAGAGATCCATCACCTAGTAAAATAAATAATAAGAATAATTAAAAAAAGCATTTATACATTAGTTTCACATAAATAACTATTGACGAGAGGATTGTAGAGATTGTCGAAGTTCTCATAACAGACTGAAATAGTCTAATTTTATTCAAATTATAAATTGACAGTATGCATCAGTTTAACATGTTCAGTTTTGTGGTCTCATCAACTGGTTTAATTTCCTTGCCATCCAGGCAGGTAAGTTTACTAGCCTTCACAGACGTGTAAAAACTCGGTTTAAAGCTGGTTCAGCAGACCTAAACTTGGTTTTGGAGATACAATTTAATAAATTTTGAACTGAATTTACTCATTCATTGGTCATCTCTTTCTTGTATACATACATGTACACATATGTACGACGGTCTATACATTTCCTTTTATGTATGGACATAGTTAATTGATTATCATAATAAATACAGTACTGTACAAATTGAATGTTTGGGTCTTATTGACTAATATATTTGACTTTCAACTAGTACGAGTTGCAGGTCCAAACCCCACATTTCACCTACTTCGGTTTGGCCAATCACTTAATAAAAACAACCCAGGTGTTTACAGTGTGATTAAAAGCCAAGTATATATAATCCATACTTGATATTTGAGTTACAATCCATTAAATGTGAATGTAAACAACGCAATATTAAGAAATTTTAAATCAATGAAGCAAATTATTAAATCTAATTTATTTTAGAAAGACTTAGTGAAAAGAAAAAAGATTAATTCGTGATGTTAAGGTCATTTGAATTCGAGCAAATCATTTCAAGCCAATTTATTGATTGACTCAGAAATGATAAGCTGAAAAGTAATTTTTTCTCGAACGTTTTTTTGTAACTTACCAATGATTATAACTAAATACTAGAATGAATATGATTTAAGTTAGAAGCAACTTAGACAGATAAAACAATGTAGTTGGTGCTCAATAATACAATAATACAAACAAAAGTACTCAACTCATTAATCAACTGCGAATTCGTTATTTAGATTTTAGGTTACTGTATTTCTGTTTCTAAAGACTAGTCATACCAACCGGTTAGCTATAACAAAGTAAATAGAACGAGATTCATAGAACGAGCACATAAAATCATTAAACCAATTTTCCAGGAAACCAACACTAAGAAAGTTATAAAGGATCATATGGCCTCAGAGACAGGATATAAAGTTGTCCAAGGTTTAGAAGAAGAATATAAAAAGTGAAGCTACAGTAACCAATATCGACGCATTGGATTCGAGAGTTCTAACATTTCGAAGGTCAAAAATAAAAGGCATATTTTTCACTTTACTTTTCATACTTGTTGAACTCATACTAGGCTTTCTTTGGTTTGTCTCTCCTTAATTCTTTTTTTTCGAAAGTTCTACTAAACCAGTCAGCATGTAAGCCAAGCTGATCAGCGACTCAATTAAACTAGCACATCTAAGGTAGCCTAATCAGCACAGGTACAAAACTAGATGAGTGACCTAGCTTAATTACCGAGAACGACATACCTTTCCCAATGGCTCCATTTCGTTGTGAATCATAAAAGCTGTTCACTTAAAGCCAGTAGGTCATATAAATCAAGAGACCTTATCTAAATCTTACCGCACCAGGTTACATTTCACATTCTCAAATTATGAGTAGTAATTTTCAAAGTGACGACCAATATAGTCAGATAATAATAATAATAGTAACACTTCCAGCGGAAAAGAAACCAGAAACAGTATAGCTCAAAATGAACTAATGAGATCGATAAAAGTGAAGTATGAAGTAATACTTATATTCACTCATTAGCGGAATACGAAAATTGGATGAGACAGCCCGATCAAAATGCGTTTAAAGCCATGTCATCTAAATTCGCTGATCATATCTTATGACTATCATGCAGCAAATTTACCGATTATTCACTAACTACTCATTTTTGACCATGTTAATATAGATTACTTAACAAATGTACATGACATACATATACATATCGGTACATTTTTTAGTAGATATTGAAACAGTATATGTGAGGGATAAACTGTTATCTTTACGTTTTGATCACATGGAATTACCTATTAATAGTCACCAGCTTCAGTACAAAGGTTCAAGTGGATAAAGAATATGCACACTTCATTCCCTCTTTAACCATTATAACATGACAAAAAGCAGCAGTCCATGATCCACAACGAACACCTCACCTAATGAGGTAAATATACAGTCATTTATGATTAGTAAGCTACAACCAACTCATTTACAAAGTACAGTTCTGCATATGCATTCATTAGCCGACCTAAGGTATTTGACAGCTAGAGATAAAATCCGGTTAACCATATGAAAAATGACAAAGAATGATTCAAGTGTCTAACCCAATGACTGAATCAATTGCTCAAACCTTGAAGTAACCGATCCCTCATGTACAATTCTGACTCATTATAAAAATAACACCATCTGTTCGAGTTCTGTAGAACTGGATGGGACATTTCCATGGATAGTAAAGTTACTTTGTTACTTCAGTATTATAGTGCTGAAGTGTTTGATAAATTTACTAACAGATTACAAATAAAATCCATCAAAAGGTAACACAAAAATGAATATTTCAACCTGAGTTTCCGCCTACAACACCGAATTGAATTTCATATGAAACATATTTTACTCGAAACTCTACATACATCTTAATGGCGAGTGCAGATGTCGTTAAGTTTATATATAAATGAGGTCAAAATGAATGTGGTTACTTACCAGCACTTAATCCATTCCTGGAACTTCGACGAAGTGCAAGCTTTTTAAATATAAAACTAGTTCCAATAAATAAGGTTGACAATAAGGCGAGGCAAAGTCCAATATAAAAGTTAACAAGTGATTTCTGCACCATCAATGATGGTAGATAGTCTGATTTATTAATCTCAATGTACATTTTATAATATTCATAACATTCTAAAACGGAATAAAATCAAAAGGACTAAAACATAGGACGGCCATACATAGAACTAAGGTAGGACAACAAAAAAACATAACCATTATGCGTTAAATAACTTTTCAACCCGAATTTCAGCTTCCACCTAACTGAGCTGACTAACAGATTTTAAAACAATATTTGCTGTTAAAACTTGCGCTGAAGGAGTAAATAAATCTTGTGTAGGCTTCCCTCAAACACTACTAGTCGAGTAAGAGTTTAAAGTGAATTGCCAGCCAAACTGTCAGCCACAAGTGTTGTTCTTTAGCGTTTCTCGATATCTTCATTTCTATTTGATTTTAAAATATATATACTCCTACTAATAAAGTTTTCGGTACATAGCTTCACAAGGATTTATTTCCTTCCTCAAAAATTACAAATAGACATAAAGTATGTAAATACGCATCGTTCCATTTGGTAAAAACACTGACAAAATGCATAGTATTCCGATATTTTTGAGCAGCGATGCAACCATGCATTTGATATGTTTCTCTCCCGCTTTATGAGAAATGTCTTTTCAGAACACTGATCAAACGGACCGAGGAACTACACCACCCTATCTAAATTACAGTGTTCATCAGCCTTGATAGGTTGTAATCTGACGAAATCTAGACACTTATTCAAAAAGCTTGTTAAGAACATGCCAACTTGGCTCATTTTTAACGTCGTAGAGATGTCTCCCTACTTAGCAGTCTTATCTAAATTATTCTGTCTGAAATTTCATCTTTCGAACAGAAACATCCGCGTAAGCAGCGAGATTGTAATAATTCCTGACATAAAACCATATATCGAGTGTTAAGGAACGGTCGAGTGAACACTATGGAAGTAAGGCACAGTATACAAAGCAAAGACAGCTAGAAATTGCTAGAATGTAAACCATCACAAATAACAAGCTCATTGAGAACCGTTAAAAATGTATAAACAACTAAAAAGATCTGCAATCGTATTTGTTGAACAAATAAAGTGTGCGGACGAACAGAGAAAGCAAAAAACAAACAACTATTGAGCCCGAAGATTATGGTCTACTGATCCGAGTCACTTTGGTAGATGTAGAGTACTTGGTCAGGATCCGCTTGACAACCGAGATCAGTAGCTGGAAATGGGTGGCACAACTCGGGGTTGGTCAGTGACGTAGATATATTCATTTTTTATCTCCATCCATGTCTTGTCTACCATTATTCCTTCACATGTACGATTTCATCACATTCCGTCGGACTATGATATTAATATTTGGTCTTTCTTATTATAAATCCTAATACATTAACTTCCCTCCTTTGATACTCAATAGTATTCACCTAAATTAGTTTTACTGGCATAACTAGTTTAAATACAAGTTCAATTCAGAAGTAAAACACTTCTTAACCCAAAAGTATTCACGAGGAAAGATTGTGTTCAGCTCTGAATCCAATGACAATTAATCAGATGTTTATCATGTCATAATACCACTTAGAATAGAGTTCAACTGCTTTAATCAGTACTTTGGAATGTTGGTGATGGGTAAGGGGGTCACAAGTTCAGTTCTTACTTTTAAACTCTGCATTTTGCCTATCTTAAATTTGACTGTAATTACACCTCAATTTTACAAAAACTTTACCTGTATCAGTTAGTTAATTAACTCCGTGAGCTAGTTCCCACCACGAGTTCTGATTTGTCCAGCCAGCCATTTACCCCATATTAAATAACCGACACTCAATATATCTTAGATTTTTTTTACAGCCTACCATGAGCATAGAGGACTTAGTCATGAAACAAAGACCAATAAATTTGGAATACGTTCAGTTCTTGCATGATGGTTTATACATACTGTTCAGACGTTGGTCTGCAAACTCGCCAAGTATAGTTTTAGTCCAAGATTCTGGATTGGGATAATTTTGTGGTTATTCCTAAGTAAATTACTTCTGGAACAACTCTGGGATGAAACCTTTCGAGGTAGAGCACAACGTAAAGATATAGTAACTCTTCATATCTCTTATATGGATTTATTCTAATTGTTGGACAAATATTGATAAATCAGACACTATGTGACTATTGAGTCCGTCTTACATTCCTAATAATCCTATATTTCTTATGAGTGGTTGTGACTTCGTTTATCCGATATAAAATCACAGTTTTCCTGTGGATAAGCATATATGAAATACACAGCTTCTACTAAAATTTAGTATTTTGACTTTTGGTATACTGTTGTATTAACATGTTGAGTTGTGGGAATATATATGGAGGTTAACATGCGACATATATATGCATACACCACTATGATTCATCATCAATTAGAGCCAAAAAAGAGTCAAAACGGTAACGTTGAAGTTAGCTTGAAGGGATTATACGTGCATTTTCCGTTAACTAAATAAACGACTTAATGAACAATTCTACACCTAAGATACCTCAGGTAGTTAGCTTTGATTGCATTCCAAAAAGCCTTAAGGTTGTGTTAGTCTAGTATGTTAAATAAACATGAGACACTAAGTAAGTTAGGTTATAGCTTGAAGCGTCGAGACTTATGTTAGGTTTGAAACAAGATATCTTGTATATACACCACATTTTCGAGTCTTACCACCGACAGGGCAATCAAAATGAAAGACTAAGGAACTACTTATAGCTATTCAGTTATTTTTAGTAATACTCTATTTCATTCTAACTTTCTGTCAAATTGCATTCAAAGTGTTTGTGAACGAAAGTTGCAAATGATCGTGGATAATAAGCGCAATAAATAACCTTTCTACTGATAACAACAGTCTGAGTAAGCAAATGATGGTTTACACAATTAAGACATAGGAAACATATTACAATAAGTTCATACTCTACATATACTAGGGTAAATTACTCGAGCTATCAAAATGAGTTCAAGCTATGGGAATTCAGAGACAGAAGTTATCACAATGAAATAACACCTTTTATTAATTTGAGGAATTACAATTTCAAAGCCTACAAAGTTGCTCAGTACTAAGATGCTTACTTCTAGCAAACTATTTCCCTAACCGAACATTTGCCATCGCACTAACTCGTAAATTACTGATATAAAACAAAATAGTAAACAAACAACATTGTCCAATGATGACACAAATTAATATGGGTTATAGATATTCGTGCAATTGGAATTGGTGTGATAAGTTAATTTCGTCGCGGAGTTATCAATAAGCAGCCGTGACTCAATGTGTTATATCCAGTATCCTTGTCACGAGCTTATATGGACCGATTCATTTCTTTGAGCTCGCTTCTTGTTGTTCCCGTAGGGCTCCAAGTATTTGTTTATGTCCAGTGGGTGGTATTCTAGTCCCCAACGGCACTAGTTCTAGTCAGCTTGGTAGTTATTTGTGGGTTTGTATATCTTGTGGTTTGATTGGGTGAGCTTGTTTCAGGGCGGTAGGGTTTCTGAGTACCTGCAGCTATCACATTACCAGACAAGAGGTCGTTTAGTCGAGACCAAGCATAAACTTTGTGTTCCTTCTCACTCGCATCTTGATGTTAAGGAACAGTTTTCTATCTTCATTAGCGTCCAGTGGGGTTAATCTTGAAACTATCTGAGTAGTCATATTGTTGTGCATACTCATTTGATGTCAAGTGTATTTGAGTGGTAGGTGAATTTGTTTGTTTCAGGAAAGTCGTGACTTTGGGACCCAAACCCAACACCTTGCCGAGCAGTCATTTGGTTGGCTATATTACGATTGGTATGATGTGGTTTAACTCCGCCTGTAGCTCTGCTAGAGTTACTGCCGGTCCCAAGCCCTGGTAAAGGAGGAGTGTTGGGCATGGGGTTGGCGACCCCATCCCGTAGAAAAGCCAACTCTCTAAAAAAACGCTAACCAGAAAAAATAATTCAAACCATTTAAACTCTGCCCTCCAAGTTAAAGGAATAATTATGACGTCTCATGGAGAAAGCCGAAATTCTTCGGAAGTCACGAGACCGATGCACCTTCTAACAACCTTCTAACAACCAGAGCAACACTCTTTAAAGGTACATGGAACGTCCGGACAATGTGGGAGACAGGAAAGACCAACTAAATAGCAATGGAAATGAGAAGATACAACTTGGCAGTACTCGGAATCAGCGAAACCCATTGGACACAAACTGGACAACAAAGGCTAGGTACAGGAGAGATGCTGCTGTACTCCGGTCACGAAGGGGAAAATGCTCCACACACTCAGGGAGTTGCTCTAATGCTGTCCAAAGAAGCACGAAATGCACTTGTGGGATGGGAATCTCATGGACCCAGGATAATCAAAGCATCATTCAGAACAAAGAAGCAAGGGATCACAATGAACGTTATCCAATGTTATGCACCCACCAGTGATAGCAACCACGATGATAAAGATCAGTTCTATGAAAGGCTGCAATTAATTATAGAGAAGTGCTCACGAAAGGACCTCACCATCCTGATGGGAGATCTAAATGCTAAAGTTGGAGTGTACAACACAGGATATGAAGATATAATTGGACGACATAGATTAGGAGAGAGAAATGAAAATGGGGAGAGACTTGCAAACCTATGTGCATTCAACAAATTGGTTATAGGCGGCACAATATTCCCATACAAGAGCATACACAAAGCTATATGGATCTCACCGTACCACACCACAGAGAACCAGATAGATCACATCTGTATCAACAAAAAATTCCGAAGATCAATGGAAGATGTGAGAACCCGGAGAGGAGCTGACATAGCTTCAGATCACCACCTGGTTGTGGCCAAGATGAGACTGAAGCTAAAGAAACACTGGACAACTGGACAAACAGCACTACAAAGGTTTAATACAGCCTTCCTTCGAGATACTGACAAGATCCATGAATTCAAGATAACTCTCAACAACAGGTTCCAGGCTCTACAAGATCTACTGAATGAACAAGAAACTACTTTGGAGGACAACTGGAAAGGGATAAAAGAAGCACTAGCTTCAACGTGTCAGGTTCTTGGTCCTAAGAAGCATCATCACAAGGAATGGATCTCTATGGGAACCCTCAACAACATTCAAGAAAGGAAGAACAAGAAACTAGCAATTAACAACAGCCAAACACGAGCAGAGAAAGTCAAAGCACAAGCAGACTACGCAGAAGCAAACAAGGAAGTGAAGAAAAGCATTAAGGTCGACAAGCAGAAATACATGGGAGAACTAGCAACGGCGGCGAAAAAAATTGCAAGAGAAGGGAACATGAAACAACTATATGAAACAACGAAGAAATTGGCAGGGAGATGTAGCAAACCAGAGAAAAGTGAAGGACAAAGAAGGAAAGACAATCACTGAGATTCAAGAACAGAGGAAAAGATGGGCAGAATACTTCGAGGAACTGCTGAATAGACCAGCCCCATTGAATCCACCGAACATCGAAGCAGCCCACACAGACCTTCCAATAGATGTCACTCCACTAACGATCGAAGAAGTCAAGATGGCCATCAGACAAATCAAAAGTGGGAAGGCGGCAGGACCTGACAACATACAAGCAGAAGCACTGAAGTCAGACATTGAGATAACTGCAAACATACTTCACCTTCTATTCAAGAAGATTTGGGAAGAGGAACAAGTGCCAATGGACTGGGAAGAAGGATATCTCATCAAGATACCAAAGAAAGGAGATCTGAGCCTATGTGAGAACTACAGAGGCATCAGTTTGTTATCAGTACCAGGAAAAGTTTTCAACAGAGTGCTGCTGAATCGGATGAAAGACGCAGTAGACGCCGAAATTCGGGATCATCAGGCTGGATTCCGTAAGGATCGGTCGTGCACAGACCAGATTGCGACACTACGGATCATCGTTGAACAATCAGTTGAGTGGAACTCATCACTATACGTCAACTTCATTGACTATGAGAAGGCGTTTGACAGCGTGGACAGGAGAACATTATGGAAACTTCTTCGACACTATGGAGTTCCTGAAAAGATTGTCAACATTATCCAAAACTCATACGATGGACTACAGTGCAAAGTCATGCATGAAGGACAGCTGACAGATGCATTTTCAGTAAGGACCGGAGTCAGACAAGGCTGTCTACTCTCCCCATTCCTCTTCCTTCTGGTGATTGACTGGATTATGAAGATCTTGACATCTGTGGGGAAATATGGAATACAATGGACATCTCAAAATCAATTAGATGATTTGGACTTCGCAGATGACCTAGCCCTCCTCTCTCATACACACGAACAAATGCAGATGAAGACAGCAAATGTAGCAGCAGCCTCCGCATCGATAGGCCTCCACATTCACAAAGGAAAAAGCAAGATTCTCAAATGCAACACGGAGAACACCAACCCAATCACACTTGATGGCGAAACTCTGGAAGAGGTGGAAAAATTCACATACCTGTGAAGCATCATTGATAAACAAGGGGGATCTGATGCAGATGTAAAGGCGAGGATTGGCAAAGCAAGGGCAGCATTTCTACAATTGAAGAACATATGGAACTCAAAACAACTCTCAACTAATTTCAAGGCCAGAATCTTTAATACGAACGTCAAGACAGTTCTTCTGTACGGAGCTGAAACGTGGAGAACTACTACGGCCATCATCAGGAAGGTTCAAGTATTTATAAACAGTTGTTTACGCAAAATACTCAGCATCCATTGGCCGGATACTATCAGCAACAGCGTTTTATGGGAGGGGACAAACCAGCTCCCAGCTGAAGAGGAAATTAGGAAAAGACGTTGGAAGTGGATCGGACATACATTAAGGAAATCACCAATGTGCATCACGACTCAATCCCTAACTTGGAATCCGGAAGGGAAGCGGAAAAGAGGAAGGCCAAAGAACACACTACGCCGGGAAATAGAAGCAGATATGAAAAGGATGAATGTGAACTGGAAAGAACTGGAAAGGAATGCTCAGGACAGAGTTGGATGGAGAATGTTGGTGAGCAGCCTACGCTCCTCGACGAGGGGTAACAGGCGTAAGTAAGTAAGTAAGTAATGATGCGGTTTATATAAGTGGAGTTAAAATATATGTCTTAAGAATCAATACGGATGGATTAGACTCATCTGTTATATTATGATGAGGTTCGCTCGGGACGAACCACCCGTCTTTCATCGTCTTGAGTTCATGATTGTTTCATATTTACACTATGAGTGAAAGCCTCCATCTTTTCAAGGTTTTGTTTTGTGGCTGAATTAAGGGTTCACTACATGTCTTTTTTCAGGGTCTTCACTTCCTCTAAGTGTATATCTGTATGGAAACGTCGTATGAAATATTCTTTTGAATAATACTCTTTTTAATTGTACAGTGCTCCCCAATTAGTAATTTGTCCACCTTGGAGCCATGGGGTGTGTTGAAGTTATTCCTATTGACTGAGTAGTTTGCCCATAATTAGCTGAGATAGAGAAGATTACCGCTGGGTGATAGGGTCGCACTAGTGAGTAAGTCGAAAATGACCACAATGAAATCATTGCTAGACATGGCGACTTCGATTGTGTAGAAGACAATACCAACTGGAGTAGCCGATCTTTGCGTCTAGTGTTATCTGCAGCGGACGATAAATCCCCCCATCAAGTAATCGGTATCATCCATACTGAAGTGGTAGCAGCTAGACCCCGGTATCCCTTTACACCCATTGTGTCCTGTTAACCTGACTCCAACTTGGACGAGTGTATGAATACTCCATGAATATAGATCTTTTTTTAATGACAGATTTACTTGTCTGAATATGCATCATCTTCTTATGTTACCAGTTCTCATATCTAGTGATATTTGAAACGGTCCTAAACCAATAAAATCACCTTGAAGCTTTCTTCTGATTTCGGTAACTGTGAAGCGACACGATATTGGATCAACAGATTACAATAAATAGTTAAATCAGTCACAAAACAAAACCTTGAAAAGATGGGGGCTTTCACTCATAGTGTAAATATGAAACAATCATGAACTCAAGACGATGAAAGACGGGTGGTTCGACCCGAGCGAACCTCATCATAATATAATAGATCAGTCTAATCCATCCGTATTGATTCTTAAGACATATATTTTAACTCCACTTATATAAACCACACCATACCAACCGTAATATAGCCAACCAAATGACTGCTCGGCAAGGTGTTGGGTTTGGGTCCCAAAGTCACGACTTTCCTGAAACAAACAAATTCACCTACCACTCAAATACACTTGACATCAAATGAGTATGCACAACAATATGACTACTCAGATAGTTTCAAGATTAACCCCACTGGACGCTAATGAAGATAGAAAACTGTTCCTTAACATCAAGATGTGAGTGAGAAGGAACACAAAGTTTATGCTTGGTCTCGACTAAAAGACCTCTTGTCTGGTAATGTGATAGCTGCAGGTACTCAGAAACCCTACCGCCCTGAAACAAGCTCACCCAATCAAACCACAAGATATACAAACCCACAAATAACTACCAAGCTGACTAGAACTAGTGCCGTTGGGGACTAGAATACCACCCACTGGACATAAACAAATACTTGGAGCCCTACGGGAACAACAAGAAGCGAGCTCAAAGAAATGAATCGGTCCATATAAGCTCGTGACAAGGATACTGGATATAACACATTGAGTCACGGCTGCTTATTGATAACTCCGCGACGAAATTAACTTATCACACCAATTCCAATTGCACGAATATCTATAACCCATATTAATTTGTGTCATCATTGGACAATGTTGTTTGTTTACTATTTTGTTTTATATCAGTAATTTACGAGTTAGAGCGATGGCAAATGTTCGGTTAGATAAATTGTAACACGTGGAATCAGCAGTACAGATCTGAAAAACAGCACACAATGTTAAACGAGGACTTCACACCAAGAGAGAACACAGTGGGAATCACGAGCCTCTTTATTTCAAAATCAAAAAGCGCGGTGCGCGAGAGTACGGCGGGAAGAGTCAGTTTACATAGTCTTATGAGTTATCCTGTAAGCTTAGCGTACATAGGGCTTGCTCTTCTGCCTCGGTGGGATTAAACTATACTGCCGAGCCAATCAGAAGCCTTCGCGGTTTTTCAAGGTCACGGCGCTTAGTTCGGTACTTGATGCTTACGTACGGTACGGTTTACAGCGGATAATTTAGCGTCTACAATAGAAGTGGTCATAAGATTTTGGCGCGAAATTCAATTATCCATTTGGATAAATAGAGTCTTGGCATTCTAGCTGATGTCAGTTCGTGATGAAAACCTTAAGTTTAATTCCTAGCCTTAATCATGAACTGTAAATCAGAAGTTGAATTCTTCACACAGGTTTATAACCCTCATTTGGTCTTAGTTATTGTGTTGACACTCTAAGAGTCACTCTGGCGTCGCTCAAAGATTGTCCATAACTTATAGTCTCATCCATAACCCCAAACCATAACCCTGACCCGTAAACCATACCAATATACTAACATTATCGGAGCTATGTAGTCGAGGCTAAAAGCATTTTTGAGACCTTATCATGGTTTCAGAGGTCGAATACTATGGAGCCATATGGATGTGTTCCTGTACCGTATGCACTGTGATTTTAGAACTTCTGAACCTATATCTGACCTTGAGAAGTTTTTGACCCATGTAAAAGAAGTGCTTCCACTTTAATTCTTAGGTTTTGTATAATATAACTCCGCCTGTAGCTCCTCCAGGGGCTACTGCCGGTCCCAAGCCCGGGTAAAGGAGAAGGGTTGAGCATGTGGTTAGCGACCCCATCCCGTAGAAAATCAACTCGCTAAAAAAACGCTAACCAGAAAAAATCATTCAAACCATTCAAACTCTGCCCTGGGAGTAGAAGGAAAAATGACGTCTCATGATGAAAGCCGAGTTCATTCGGAAGTCATGAGGCCGATGCACCTTCTTACAACCAGAGCGACAATTTTTATAGGTACATGGAATGTCCGGACAATGTGGGAGACCGGCAGAGTCTTCCAAATTGCTGCAGAAATGAGGAAATACAACCTGGAAGTGCTTGGAATCAGTGAAACACATTGGACGCAGGTTGGACAACAAAGATTGTCTTCAGGGGAACTTCTGTTATACTCCGGTCATGAAGAAGAAAATGCCCCACATACACAAGGAGTTGCATTGATGCTGTCCAGAAAAGCACAAAATGCACTTATAGGATGGGAATCTCATGGACCAAGGATCATCAAAGCCTCCTTCAGAACAAAGAGAGAGGGCATTACAATGAACATCATCCAATGCTATGCGCCGACCAACGACTACGATGAAGACGCTAAAAACCAATTCTACGATAGCTGCAGTCAATCTTCGAGAAGTGCCCAACCAAAGACCTGACCATTCTAATGGGAGATTTCAATGCCAAGGTTGGAAAGGACAACACTGGATACGAAGACGTCATGGGACAACATGGACTGGGAGGAAGGAACGAAAACGGTGAGAGATTTGCAAACCTATGTGCCTTCAATAAACTGGTCATAGGTGGCACCATATTCCCACACAAAAACATACACAAAGCCACTTGGATTTCACCGGATCACACTACACAGAATCAAATCGACCATATCTGCATCAACAAAAAGTTCAGGAGGACGATGGAGGATGTGAGAACCAGAAGAGGAGCTGATATAGCATCCGATCACCATTTGCTGGTCGCCAAGATGAAACTAAAACTCAAGAAGCACTGGACAATGGCGCGGACAACATCACAAAAGTTTAACACGGCCTTTCTTCGAGATGCTGACAAACTCAACAAATTCAACATAGCCCTCAGCAACAGGTTCGAGGCCTTTCGTGACCTACTCAATGGAGAGGGAACCACCATAGAGAGCAGCTGGAAAGGTATCAAGGAGGCAATCGTTTCAACATGTCAGGAGGTTCTGGGCCAAAAGAAGCACCATCACAAGGAATGGATCACTGTTGGTACACTGGATAAGATTGAAGCAAGGAGGAAGAAGAAGGCAGCAATCAATATCAGCCGAACAAGAGCAGAAAAAGCCAAGGCACAAGCCGAATACACAGAGGCAAACAAGCAAGTGAAGAGGAGCATCAGAACCGACGAACGTAAATATGTGGAAGATTTAGCGATGACAGCGGAAAAGGCTGCAAGAGAGGGAAACATGAGACAACTGTATGATACAACAAAGAAACTTGCTGGAAATTGCCGTCAACCAGAAAGACCAGTGAAGAGCAAGAAAGGCAAAGTAATCACCGACATTGAAGAACAACGAAACAGGTGGGTAGAACACTTCAAAGAACTCTTGAATCGACCAGCTCCACTGAACCCACCCAACATCGAAGCAGCACCCACGGACCTCCCAATCGATGTTGGCCCGCCAACAATTGAAGAGATCAGCATGGCCATTAGACAAGTCAAGAGTGGCAAAGCAGCGGGACCAGACAACATCCCGGCAGAGGCACTGAAAGCAAATGTAACAGCAACTACCAAGATACTACACATCCTCTTCAGTAAGATTTAGGACGAAGAACAAGTACCAACAGACTGGAAAAAAGGACTTCTGATCAAGATACAAAAGAAAGGCGATCTGAGCAAGTGCGACAACTACAGGGGCATCACTCTCCTCTCAATACCAGGAAAAGTCTTCAACAGAGTATTGTTAAACAGGATGAATGATTCCGTGGACGCTCAACTTCGAGATCAACAGGGTGTATTTCGTAAGGATAGATCGTGCACAGATCAAATCGCAACTCTACGTATCATTGTGGAACAATCAATCGAATGGAATTCATCACTCTACATCAACTTCATCGACTACGAGAAGGCATTTGATAGCGTGGACAGGACGACACTATGGAAGCTTCTTCGACACTACGGCGTGCCTGAGAAGATAGTCAACATCATACGGAACTCCTATGATGGACTAAACTGCCAAATCGTCCACGGAGGACAACTCACCGACTCATTCGAGGTAAAGACCGGTGTTAGGCAAGGTTGCTTACTCTCACCGTTTCTCTTTCTCCTGGTCATCGACTGGATCATGAAGACGTCAACGACTGGAGGAAAGCACGGGATACAGTGGACAGGCAGGATGCAACTTGACGATCTAGACTTCGCGGATGATCTGGCTCTTCTATCACAAACGCAACAACAAATGCAGGAGAAAACGACCAGTGTAGCAGCAGCCTCAGCCGCAGTAGGTCTCAATATAAACAAAGAGAAAAGCAAGACTCTTCGATACAACACAATATGCACCAATCAAATTACACTTGACGGAGAAGCTTTGGAGGATGTGGAAACCTTTACATATCTGGGCAGCATCATTGATGAACACGGTGGATCAGATGCTGATGTGAGGGCGCGGATCGGCAAAGCAAGAGCAGCATACCTACAGCTGAAAAACATCTGGAGCTCAAAACAATTGTCAACCAACACCAAGGTTAGAATTTTCAATACAAATGTGAAGACAGTTCTTCTGTATGGGGCAGAGACGTGGAGAACTACGAAAGCCATTATCCAGAAGATACAAGTGTTTATTAACAGCTGTCTACGCAAGATACTTCGGATCCGATGGCCAGACACTATCAGCAACAAGTTACTGTGGAAGACAACAAACCAGATTCCAGCGGAGGAAGAAATCAGGAAGAAGCGCTGGAAGTGGATTGGGCACACTTTGAGGAAATCACCCAATTGTGTCACAAGACAAGCCCTCACATGGAATCCTGAAGGTCGAAGGAGAAGAGGATGACCAAAGAACACATTACGCCGAGAAATGGAGACAGACATGAGAAGAATGAACAAGAACTGGAAAGAACTAGAAAAGAAGGCCCAGGACAGAGTGGGTTGGAGAAAGCTGGTCGGCGGCCTATGCTCCATTGGGAGTAACAGGCGAAAGTAAGTAAGTAAGTTTTGTATAATATATTTTTACTGTATACTAACTGTCTTCTGATTAACTAATATTTCTCAAGGTCATTTAAGATTCGTTCAAAGGTCGGCAGTATAGATTAATCCTACCGAAATTTCAACTCCGTTACAAAATAGCTTGCTAGAAGTGAGCATCTTAGTACTGAGCAACTTTGTAGGCTTTGAAATTGTAATTCCTCAAATTAATAAAAGGTGTTATTTCATTGTGATAACTTCTGTCTCTGAATTCCCATAGCTTGAACTCATTTTGATAGCTCGAGTAATTTACCCTAGTATATGTAGAGTATGAACTTATTGTAATATGTTTCCTATGTCTTAATTGTGTAAACCATCATTTGCTTACTCAGACTGTTGTTATCAGTAGAAAGGTTATTTATTGCGCTTATTATCCACGATCATTTGCAACTTTCGTTCACAAACACTTTGAATGCAATTTGACAGAAAGTTAGAATGAAATAGAGTATTACTAAAAATAACTGAATAGCTATAAGTAGTTCCTTAGTCTTTCATTTTGATTGCCCTGTCGGTGGTAAGACTCGAAAATGTGGTGTATATACAAGATATCTTGTTTCAAACCTAACATAAGTCTCGACGCTTCAAGCTATAACCTAACTTACTTAGTGTCTCATGTTTATTTAACATACTAGACTAACACAACCTTAAGGCTTTTTGGAATGCAATCAAAGCTAACTACCTGAGGTATCTTAGGTGTAGAATTGTTCATTAAGTCGTTTATTTAGTTAACGGAAAATGCACGTATAATCCCTTCAAGCTAACTTCAACGTTACCGTTTTGACTCTTTTTTGGCTCTAATTGATGATGAATCATAGTGGTGTATGCATATATATGTCGCATGTTAACCTCCATATATATTCCCACAACTCAACATGTTAATACAACAGTATACCAAAAGTCAAAATACTAAATTTTAGTAGAAGCTGTGTATTTCATATATGCTTATCCACAGGAAAACTGTGATTTTATATCGGATAAACGAAGTCACAACCACTCATAAGAAATATAGGATTATTAGGAATGTAAGACGGACTCAATAGTCACATAGTGTCTGATTTATCAATATTTGTCCAACAATTAGAATAAATCCATATAAGAGATATGAAGAGTTACTATATCTTTACGTTGTGCTCTACCTCGAAAGGTTTCATCCCAGAGTTGTTCCAGAAGTAATTTACTTAGGAATAACCACAAAATTATCCCAATCCAGAATCTTGGACTAAAACTATACTTGGCGAGTTTGCAGACCAACGTCTGAACAGTATGTATAAACCATCATGCAAGAACTGAACGTATTCCAAATTTATTGGTCTTTGTTTCATGACTAAGTCCTCTATGCTCATGGTAGGCTGTAAAAAAAATCTAAGATATATTGAGTGTCGGTTATTTAATATGGGGTAAATGGCTGGCTGGACAAATCAGAACTCGTGGTGGGAACTAGCTCACGGAGTTAATTAACTAACTGATACAGGTAAAGTTTTTGTAAAATTGAGGTGTAATTACAGTCAAATTTAAGATAGGCAAAATGCAGAGTTTAAAAGTAAGAACTGAACTTGTGACCCCCTTACCCATCACCAACATTCCAAAGTACTGATTAAAGCAGTTGAACTCTATTCTAAGTGGTATTATGACATGATAAACATCTGATTAATTGTCATTGGATTCAGAGCTGAACACAATCTTTCCTCGTGAATACTTTTGGGTTAAGAAGTGTTTTACTTCTGAATTGAACTTGTATTTAAACTAGTTATGCCAGTAAAACTAATTTAGGTGAATACTATTGAGTATCAAAGGAGGGAAGTTAATGTATTAGGATTTATAATAAGAAAGACCAAATATTAATATCATAGTCCGACGGAATGTGATGAAATCGTACATGTGAAGGAATAATGGTAGACAAGACATGGATGGAGATAAAAAATGAATATATCTACGTCACTGACCAACCCCGAGTTGTGCCACCCATTTCCAGCTACTGATCTCGGTTGTCAAGCGGATCCTGACCAAGTACTCTACATCTACCAAAGTGACTCGGATCAGTAGACAATTAATTCATTTTCTTACTTCATGTTCTTCATTGTACCGTTTTATCTTCCGGCAATCTTATATCCAACGTTGTGATACATCTATTTTATTTTGTTTAAGTTTTTATGCAATTTTACTTACCACTGGCTGCCTTTCCATATCATTTGCAATCGTCACTCATCGCTACTATTGTCATTCGCAAAACTCTTTGTAAGCCTACTTTTAAGTTGTTTTGCAATTCAACTTTCTCTTAGATTGCTGAAAGGAGCTTTCATTTCAATGCTGATTTATTAGGTTCTTTTGAATGCCATCAATTTTTTAAAACTACACTAGTTTATCTACTCATATGGAACTCCTACGTATTTTTCTCGTTGTTTCCTGAACGTATCATTGACTTTCCTACACCCATCAATGCGCTTAAAAATAAATGCTTGCACTGCAACATGATCGTAATTCAAGTTTGTGCTGTAATAAAAGCAACAGTCAAGCTGTCAAGCCTTTTCTACGATAGTTGTTAGGGATATAGTCTCTTTGTGTCTGTGTTGGAGATTGTTAGGTTGAACGTTTTCTCCTATCAAGCTCAAAGCTGACACCTCTTAATAATAGGTGTTACTTGATCATAATTGTAGGGGGTAACCGTCTTCTATTTATTGGGTTGGGATGAAAAAATATCAGCTTTGTTATACGTTATACTAACCAGCTTGACTCGGCCTTCTGACTTTAGGTCTAAAGTCATCTACCACGATTATCGTTCCTGAGTCTATGACTTTCTGAAGGTCAGGACGCTCCCAGTGAAATGATGTAGAGGCGACAGCGTACATCCTTATCCCCCTAAGTTCTTACTGTATCATTTAACTGGACAGAACACAAACTATTATCAATGTACCTGGCATATATTAAATCTCAGTGCTACATCTATATGTTTTAGTTTCATTTGTTTTTCGTTATGGACTACCCACTTTTTCTCATTTCATAAATAAAAATCCGCTGAACACTTTTAAAGTGATTTTATGAGTTTGTAGAATTCGTTCCTTTAAATCAGCTCTACCAGTTATCTTCTGCTATAAAACAAATATTTTAATCATCAAATAATTTACACACATAATTGTGTGCATATGCTTGGAAGCCCGTGTGCATTTATAGCTATAGTTTTAAAATATTATTGAAAATCAATAAAGGCCGTATCTTATCACATGTTTCGGTATGGATAAATTGATTTATACTTATTGCTTTCGCTGTTCACTTATATGTACAAAAATGTTCTCGTTTTCAGCATCCTACCTACTAGTTTTGTATACTATGTTTTCTGTTCAGTTCTCAAACTATTATGATCTTTTATTATAATATAATTGTTTGTTCGCTTCGCAGATAAAACAGCTGTTTAACACCATTAACATCAATTTTGATCATGTCACGGGGAGATTCTGATAGTCTGGGTAGAAATGAAGGATCACGCAGTATCTTAAGGTAGTTTATGTTTATAGTTTATTTCACATAAATTATTCTATTCCAGGAATGCTTCACGTAATATGATGAAGTAATTTTTATTACTATTTTGCATTAAGATATCAATATTTTTTTAGACCTATAAATTCAGTGATTGATGGTTCTTTATCATTTTTTGGCTTTGATTCTCGTGAAACTACTATTGAAGACTGGAATGAACGACGGTTGCGATATTTAATAAAACGTTATGGAAGCATTAAAGGTGATCGCTTAACTGTTGTAAGTTAATCATAATTCATTGGAATCGCTATTGTTCTTAAGGTTATAACTAGTAGTTGCTGTATTACGCTACAACACATTTGAAATATATACCATTGATACGCTGCCCAAGAATTAATCTTTACATTCAGGTTCTAATTGATTGTAGAGCGACTGGCCTACGAACAGATTTCCAGCGATCGCTTATGACGTCTTATTGTGACTTTTTGTGTCAATATTTATATATAAGTATGTCATTGTATTTCAGAAAAATCCCACTCTTCCATACATCAGTATCATGTTGTAGTGTAACTATTTCAATAAATTTATAACTTTTAGAAATTGTACGTTGATACATGATATTACTGAGAATTGATTAAATATTCTGTAGACATTAACTTTTATTTTTGTTGTACATCTACGTTTACTTACTGAATTAAATGACAGAAAATCTATTCCATGTCTCAACTTTTATAGTCAATTTAGAGTTGAATGGTTTAAAAATATCCAAACATATCACCGTCGAAATTGATAACTAAATGAGGCACGTTGGTGTTCATGTTTTTGAACTTTCAAGAGATTTCCTTCAGAAGTATTGATTTGACGTCCTATTTTTTTTATAGCTGACTGCCTCTCCAGCTCTATGCGATACATCAAGATCGTCGTTAAGACATCGTGTAAGTTACTACCTCTAAGTTGTTATTTATTACATATCTATTTTATTGTTACGTCTCATATTCTTTCAAAATTTCAGCTGACTTCAAGTTCACATTCTGAACCAATGAAGATTATCAATAGACGTCAAGTACGCTATTATTATTATTATTATTATTATTATTATTATTATTATTATTATTATTATTATTATTGTATTTAAGACCATCGTGACTACTTTTCGGCATTTCTGACAATGTTGAAGTATTTTAAAATGTCGCTATTTTTGAAGAATTAGAGAATTTATTTCTCTGACTCGAAATCTGATTAAATAGAATATACTGACGTAAGTTACCATTTAACCGTTGATTTAAAATTAAATATTCTACTCTGAAATATAAACACTTACCGTTTAAGAAACTTGAAGTACCATTTTTAATCTTCTTAATAACAAAGCAAATAAAAAAGTGCTGGAACGTACAGCTCGTGAAAGCAGTCAAGTTACGACTAAGGGTAAGATGCTCACCTATACTCATATTTAGTTATTGGGTTTTACTGCAAATCAATTAGAGTTGTAAAGGTGGATTTTTCTAGAGTAAATTTCGTCGAAAGTTACTTACTTACTTACTTACTTACGCCTGTTACCCCTCGTCGAGGAGCGTAGGCTGCTCACCAACATTCTCCATCCAACTCTGTCCTGAGCATTCCTTTCCAGTTCTTTCCAGTTCACATTCATCCTTTTCATATCTGCTTCTATTTCCCGGCGTAGTGTGTTCTTTGGCCTTCCTCTTTTCCGCTTCCCTTCCGGATTCCAAGTTAGGGATTGAGTCGTGATGCACATTGGTGATTTCCTTAATGTATGTCCGATCCACTTCCAACGTCTTTTCCTAATTTCCTCTTCAGCTGGGAGCTGGTTTGTCCCCTCCCATAAAACGCTGTTGCTGATAGTATCCGGCCAATGGATGCTGAGTATTTTGCGTAAACAACTGTTTATAAATACTTGAACCTTCCTGATGATGGCCGTAGTAGTTCTCCACGTTTCAGCTCCGTACAGAAGAACTGTCTTGACGTTCGTATTAAAGATTCTGGCCTTGAAATTAGTTGAGAGTTGTTTTGAGTTCCATATGTTCTTCAATTGTAGAAATGCTGCCCTTGCTTTGCCAATCCTCGCCTTTACATCTGCATCAGATCCCCCTTGTTTATCAATGATGCTTCACAGGTATGTGAATTTTTCCACCTCTTCCAGAGTTTCGCCATCAAGTGTGATTGGGTTGGTGTTCTCCGTGTTGCATTTGAGAATCTTGCTTTTTCCTTTGTGAATGTGGAGGCCTATCGATGCGGAGGCTGCTGCTACATTTGCTGTCTTCATCTGCATTTGTTCGTGTGTATGAGAGAGGAGGGCTAGGTCATCTGCGAAGTCCAAATCATCTAATTGATTTTGAGATGTCCATTGTATTCCATATTTCCCCACAGATGTCAAGATCTTCATAATCCAGTCAATCACCAGAAGGAAGAGGAATGGGGAGAGTAGACAGCCTTGTCTGACTCCGGTCCTTACTGAAAATGCATCTGTCAGCTGTCCTTCATGCATGACTTTGCACTGTAGTCCATCGTATGAGTTTTGGATAATGTTGACAATCTTTTCAGGAACTCCATAGTGTCGAAGAAGTTTCCATAATGTTCTCCTGTCCACGCTGTCAAACGCCTTCTCATAGTCAATGAAGTTGACGTATAGTGATGAGTTCCACTCAACTGATTGTTCAACGATGATCCGTAGTGTCGCAATCTGGTCTGTGCACGACCGATCCTTACGGAATCCAGCCTGATGATCCCGAATTTCGGCGTCTACTGCGTCTTTCATCCGATTCAGCAGCACTCTGTTGAAAACTTTTCCTGGTACTGATAACAAACTGATGCCTCTGTAGTTCTCACATTTGCTCTTCTAGAGTTACTGCCGGTCCCAAGCCCGGGTAAAGAAGGAGGGTTGGGCATGGGGTTAGCGACCCCATCCTGTAGAAAAGCTAACTCGCTAAAAAAACGCTCACCAGAAAAAATAATTCTTCATCGAAAGTGAACATCTTTAAATCTATATTCGACTGGAGGTTGCTAAAGTTTCCAGAAGGCATTTTACCACTGAATTTTAATATGATTATCGACTTTCAACAACACCTATTCAACTTTAAACTGTCAAAATCTGAGATATCGTCTTCCAGTTATTCAAACAAGGTTGTTTGTTAAAATATGTGGAAAGACTTCAAAGTTTTGTTATTTATACTTTCAAATCATTCAAACTACTTTATCGGAGTACTCTAATCTTAAGTGCTGTATAATATTTCTAAAAGAGAATAGTAAGTAATCTTTCGGAATCGATTATACCACTCATAAAATCAGAATAACTATTTTATCTTTTATGCTCATTGTCTCCTGTAAAATACCACAGTGGAAATCTAAGAATTTAAAAGTTTAGTTCTATTTTTGAATTTAAGTCTCTTATCTATTACTATAATCTTTTACCATCCTTTTGTGTTTTAGGTATCTTTTGCTAATTCTGTTGTGCCACCGATTGAATCACAGAGGCCGGTTTATTTACGTGAAGTAAGTCATTATCATCAAATCCGTAACTTTCATGATGGCCGATGTTCGAAATAAATGTGATTTTGTGGACAACAAACAAAAATAATTAATTTTTTGAAAACTAGTTTGGTTTTTTTTCATTGGATAGATAGTAACAGCATATTATGTAACTCTTTATGTAAAGGTCAATGATACTACCTTGCTGTCCAAACCTAAGCAGTTGAAGCTTGGTTCGAACCTGTGGCCAGTTGGTTAGGAGCTAAGCTCTTCAATCAATAAACCATCGCTCTATACGTGTAATTAGACAGTTGAGCTGTAGTTCTGTATCATATAACTAACCAAAAAATCACAATTTTTATTGCTTTAATAACTGTTATATCTTTTAAAAACTATAGTTTGATTCACATTTTATTATGCTCTTATTTACTGAATTTATTGTATAGTCGTGACTAAATCTTTTTATTTGTATTTCTTTTTAGTTGAGCAGTATCACGACCTTTAGTCTTCCAGTTGCACCTGCTTCAACTTCTGCTCATAAACCGCACGCGATGAAAGTTATCCTATCAGCTATGTGGAATCGTCGACTATTACGAACTCGTAGAAAGTTAGAAGGCATTGAAGTGAGTTGAAGATTTTGTCTATTAAATGGATTTATATTTAAACTCACGAACAATTTTCTTATATAAATTGCTACTAAATTTTACTTAATTGAAATTCAACATCATCAGGAAGAACTTCAAGTAGTATTGAAGCGTTCGAATTCTTTTCATAAGTGATCTGATCTCGTATCCAAACAAATCTTAATTTACACGGTTAGTATCACGGAATGGTCTTAGTTAAACAAGTACTGAACATCTGTCTCGTTCCTTAGTACAGTATTCTTTAACAATGCATGTCGAAGATTCCTCCACTGGGGATCAGACACAGGACCTTCAGTCATGCAAGTTAACGCTTAATGTCCAATGGTTTACATGTTTAATTTCAGTCGATTCGTAATATCGCTCAACCATCTTCCAATGTATAGGTTAATTGGTTCTCCCTAGTAAGTGACATGACTGGTCAATGAATCACTGTTTTGATTGAATTAAAGTGATCTTTTCGTTTGATTTTCGACTTGCCTATTTTTCTTATTGTTGCATAAACTAAATCTATCTCAAGAGATCAGACCAATAATTATGTCATCTAAATGAAAATTTTCACTGAATTCGCCCATGAAACAAGAACTTATTTTACCCAATATATGTATATCATAATGACTTTGGATTACTAAAGGCAGCAGTCACTCAATCCAGTAATGTTTGATATCTATGTATTTCCATAACACTGTTTCAATCAGGTAGATAGGTTTGTAAACAACGTCTATTCTACATTGTTTGGATAACGGACTTGGGATTGCTGGAGAAATGCTTTGTGTACGAATTAAGTTGTCATCTAGGTGTTTCTTGATGAACTTGTAACCAATCGTTTTTTTTCAAAAGATTGATTACAATTAAGTATTATTTATATGCACTCTCTATGTATGTCCTCATAGCACCTAGCTTAAAACCATCAAGTTCCATGAAAACCACCTAGCCTTCAGACCACCGATTCGGAATGCAGTCGTCAATATTTTCAACTGCAACCAGTTCACAATATAGCGCGGAAACCATCTGATAACATCGACGGTAACTGTCTCACATCTGACATGCCTAGATTCCACCAATAATGACTTTCTTCTAGAACCTGAGAGATTCACCTAGAAGCAAGTCTCTAGCAAGCACACTGTTACATCTCGATTGGAGATTTTGTGAATATTTATTTGATAAATAGACAGAACAGACTAGTGTCAGCTGAGGATACTATTGAAGGAGTGAGTTGTTAGTGAGTTTGTCCTCCAATTCTGATCTCTTTATAATGTTATCGTTACCAATATGGAGTATATATTATACGGAGTGATTTACAGGTTATTTCCTTTATATTTACTTTCAATTTCATCGAGTTGACTTGAGAGGAAACCATCTTTACTCTATTCCACGTAGTTCTTCTAAATTTCTAATGTTATACCAGTGTCTAGACTAAGTATCCTAGATTTATGGGATAAACATTTTATTTTCTTATACGATGTCATAATGTATCTTTCTTTTTTTCCTAAACTATTTCTCTTCTTTATAGGTTAATGACACTGGATTTGAACGCTTTCATTCAGCTCCAACTGGTAGAATATTTTCATTAGATACAACAGATACTCATTTTAACAATGATAAGTGGGTAGCTCTTAAAGATGCTAAAAATGAAGAAACACCATTTCTAGCTGTATCGTCAACAATACCAGTCGCTGGTGAATCTAGTGTTAATACTATTAATGATAACACTCATAAAGATAGAATCAGTTATGATGCTTCGGTGGAGCAACAGAAATCACATGATATTGTCGATGGTCATAATGATAATGTTATAGTTTCACAATGTAGTCCGTCATCATTCGATCAACCTGTGACATATTCATTTTTTCAACATTCCAGTAGTTCTGCTGGTGAGTTTTTTTATTTTCAGGATCGACAATATTTGTTATCAATTTTTTTCTTCCCTCACCGAAAAAAAACTTTAATTTCTGTTAAAAATATCAAGATACTAAAAAAATTCTTACCGTGTATACTAGAACAAGATTTATAAGCGCCCGATGTCGAGTAAATGCCGAGCTATTGCACTGTAGAAAGCCCTGGTCCCTCGCAGCCTCAGTTTCTTAGGAATATGCTCAGAAATGCGAACATGTACTCTTCTCTCGGTTCTTCCAATGTATATACTTTGGCACGTACATGTAAATTGGTAAATGCAGTCGGAGCTACTGAGAAATAAGGACTTGTCGATTTTAGCTTGTTTGAGTGAGCAGTTAGTTTCCCACACCGTTGTCAGTTTAGCTGCTGGGTAGGTCGCTTTCAACGCAGAATTAAGTCTGTGATTAATTATTCCAGCGATTTCATCTCCTTTGAAACGTAGGTATAAGAAGCATGTTTTCTTTTCCACTCGATCATACTTTACTTGACGGTTGGTGTTTGCGTATTTATGGATGAATTTCTCCGGGTATGCGTTTTCACGCAGGCACTTGGTGATTAGAGCCATTTCATCTTCTTTCAGACACTCATTTGAGCAGATTTTGCGTGCGCGGTCAAAAAGGGTTCGTACAATACCTGTTACGTCCTTGAATCTGTCTACCCACTTTAGTGCCGAGTATGACTTGTCTAATGTAGATTAAGACCTTGACCCGGTAGGCTGACTGGCTTAACCTTGAGTCTAATATGCGTGAGTTCGAAGTGGGGGTAGAGAGACGAAAACTATCAATACCCTTTTTGTAACTCAATGAACGGAAGTTGTAGAGATGCCCCGGGCCTATTCTACAGATCATGAGCTTTCGTTTGATGTATAGTTCACTGCCATAGCATTTTCTGTTCTAAAGCTATTGCAATTTAGACGTAACCTTTTGTACTCTATTTTCAACTACAATCCCCCAGTTTTGGACATAATTGTATTTTCCTAATTATTGTACGTTGTGGTCAGGTTATTCATCTATTTATTCATGTATCTTCTTACACTAATCTGAATTGAGAATTCGAGTGCCAGATCGGGATTGGAATACAGCGATTAGTGTTCCAGTTGTCTTTGTCTTCTCTCTCTCTCTCGCGTGCTTGTCATGGATAGAATAGTTTTCGTCTCTCTACCCCCACTTCGAACTCACGCATATTAGCCTCAAGGTTAAGCCAGTCAGCCTACCGGGTCAAGGTCTTAATCTACATTAGACAAGTCATACTCGGTACTAAAGTGGGTAGACAGATTCAAGGACGTAACAAAAGTGGCGACGGAGATTTTTTAAAAATTTAAAATATTGATTGATCCAAATCAAAATGTCTGTTTCTTTGGACGACCTTAAAACTATTCTACAAATTCAGCAAGCTCAGAATGATGCAAACCAAATGAAGCTTTTAGATGCATTGATGCAGAAGCTCTCATTTCATTCATCTTCAAATTCTCAGTCAGATAAATATGACAGCATCGGAAATTCTATTTGTGAATTCAATTATGATCCCGATTCTGGTATGATTTTCGATTCCTGGTTTCGTCGTTTTGAAGACACATTTCGTGTTGAATGCTCAAATCTTGATGATGCAGCCAAAGTTCGCCTACTCTTGAGAAGACTCGGAACACTTGAATATAACAAATATGTGAATTTCATTTTGCCACAAAATCCACGAGATTTATCATTCAATGAGACAGTTCAAACTTTATCTAAAATTTTTGGTGAACAATCCTCATTATTCAGCATTCGTTATCAGTGTTTTCAAATATCAAAATCCTTATCTGATGATTATCTCACATACGCTGGACAAGTAAATAAAGAATGCGAACGTTTTAGAATAAATGAAATTACAGCAGATCAATTTAAATGTTTGATTTTTATCTGTGGATTAAAGAATCCGTAAGATATGGATATACGTACCAGAATTCTATCGCGCATTGAGCAGGAGCCTAACATGACCCTGCAAATGGTCACAACCGAGTGTCGACGGTTGTTAAATCTTAAACATGATACCACGATGGTACAGCAAAATGCAAAGACTTCCAATCTTGCTTCAATAAATGCATGCAGATCTTCCAAATCTTCCAAACAAAAGACGGCGAACACACAGCAACCTTCTAGTAAACCACCATCACCATGTTGGTTTTGCGGATCATGGCACTTTGTGAAGTTATGCCCATTCAAGAACCACAAATGCCGCCAATGTCATCGCATTGGTCATAAAGAAGGTCACTGCTCCTCAGATAAACGTCAGTCCAAACATCGTGGCGTAAAGGCGAAGCGACAGCCACAGAGTCAAGTCAAAAGCACGTTTGCAACTTTTAAAGTTGGTTTTCAAAGTAAACGGAAGTATGTGAATTTATTAGTGAATGAAAAACCTATTCGTCTTCAGTTGGACACTGCTTCCGACATTACACTGATCTCCAAGATCACATGGAGTAAGCTAGGGTGCCCACCCATCCGACCAACAAAACATGTTGTTCGAAATGCTTCAGGCGACATAGTGAAGTTAACAGGAGAAGTCACCTGCAACGTGCAATTCAAGGAACATAAACTCACTGATGTTTGTTATCTAATAAATCGGCATGATTTAGATCTATTGGGATTGGACTGGATTGAGGAGATCGATGTCTTAAATAGTTTATTAAATGAAGTATGTTCTCATAATTCTTGCTCTGAATCTATCCAAAATTCTCATGGTATTTCCGAATCAAATGCCTTAGTTGTGTCATGTTCCCTTGATGTCTATGAACTAAATGCTTCCGATGTAACATGTTCTCGAAATATTTCTGAATCAAATTCCTCAGATTTAATGTGTTCTCATTATGATGTCAAATCAAATACCTCCGATTTAATGTGTTCTCATCATGCTGTCAAATCAAATACCTCCGATTTAATGTGTTCTCATAATGATACTAAATCGAATAACTCCGATTTAATGTGTTCTCACAATGATGTTAAATCAAATGACTCCGATGGAACATGTTCACAAAATGATTCCCCATCAAATTCATCAAACAAAGTCTGCTGTCGTAAGGTCTCAAAATCTCATGCATTTGATTCCTCTATAGTGCCGACCGCACCTCACGCAAATAATCTTCGAAAACAAAATGCAAAGCCCATTTTCAGACCAAAACGACCAGTACATTATGCTGCTCTGTCAGCCGTTGATCAAGAACTTGACAGTTTTGAAGCACTAGGTGTCATTCAGCCAGTAAATCACTCAAACTGGGCTGATCCCATAATAGTTGTGAGAAAGATCAGAACTCAATGTAATCGCCATCATGGGGCGAAGCGGAGAATCTATCGTCGTTCCCGAATCTCACCTTCACAGAAAGCCGAGAAACCGTGCTCAATGGGGGAAATTTTCTTGGACAGTTTCGTCATAGGAAATCCAGCAACTAAGAAGACTGTGAAACTTCAACAACATCTTAATAGGAGATCACGACGGAAACGCAAAGGACCTGATGCCATGCAGGTGGACCCCAAGAAAGGAGCATATTTTTCCGGGGGGAGATATCGATGATGATATCTTAGCTACTGCTTGCAAATAATGACTAACCACTTTTCTTTTTTTCTGTTTATTCCAGTTAACCCAATTGGTCACGACCACAACACCATCCAGTTTCCTTTATGCACTCAGTCGATGGCAGTGATAACATAACTTTTTTTGTCAAGGGGGAAGATGATGTGAACCGCGAAACAAGAAGCCTTAACATGTAGTAATTGAGATATAGTCCACTCCAAGTGTTTTTGCAATGAACGTATCTTTGTAATGTACCCACTGATGTTCGTCTAATTCCAATATCTAGGAAATGGAATTTATCTTCGACTTCATGTTCCATGGTAAATTTTATATCCTTGTGTGCTTTATTAAACAAACTGAGTAGATTGGTGGAGTGCTTGTGATTGTTGCAAACAATAAAAGTGTCATCCGTGTATCTACAGTAGAGTGTGGTACTATCGACGGCATGCTTAAGCTTCTTCTGTTCGAAGTTTCCCATAAACATGTCGGCCAGAATTGGACCCAAAGGGCTACCCATGGCTACTTCATCAATTTCACGGTAGAACACATTTCTGAATTTGAATTGTATGTTTTTTGTACACAGAAAAAGGAGCTGTTTAAATTCATGGATTGGTAAAGGTAAAAGTTCAGAATATTCACCTATGATCTCTGCAGTTTCATCCAAGGGTATATTTGTGAAAAGCGATGAGACGTCAAATGAGACCATGAATTTATCAGAAGCACTTTTATTATCAAGTTTTTGTACAAATTCAAAACTATCTTTCAGACTATAGGGTGCTAGTTTCTTGCGGATTGGTTTCAAGCACCTTGTCAGCCAGCGGGCGAGTTTATAAAAGGGTGATTTGGTCATAGATATTATTGGTCGTATCGGGAATTATAATCGACAACACCCAGAAAGACTTAAGAGATGCAACTGAGAAGCGTCTCTTAAAAAAGTTTAGAGAACTGTTGAAGAAACATCTAATAGATAATCATACATATAACGAATTCAAACCAAAAGGATCACAATTACCATACTTATACGGCCTATTCAAAATACACAAAATCGACATCCCGATAAGACCAAGAAACTAGCACCCTATAGTCTGAAAGATAGTTTTGAATTTGTACAAAAACTTGATAATAAAAGTGCTTCTGATAAATTCATGGTCTCATTTGACGTCTCATCGCTTTTCACAAATATACCCTTGGATGAAACTGCAGAGATCATAGGTGAATATTCTGAACTTTTACCTTTACCAATCCATGAATTTAAACAGCTCCTTTTTCTGTGTACAAAAAACATACAATTCAAATTCAGAAATGTGTTCTACCGTGAAATTGATGAAGTAGCCATGGGTAGCCCTTTGGGTCCAATTCTGGCCGACATGTTTATGGGAAACTTCGAACAGAAGAAGCTTAAGCATGCCGTCGATAGTACCACACTCTACTGTAG